CCATTAGACAAGCATTCAAACGATGTCCTGTTTTTCTTCGATATGCCCGAAGCCCTAAGTCTTCATTTAACACCCTTTTCACCGTGGTTCTGCTTAACCCCATCTGAAGGGCCAACAGTTTCTGCTTACGTTTGGGATTTCTTTGAATTCGCGCCTTCACAGCTTTTATCACTGCTGAAGTCCTAACAGACCGAGGGCGACCACTTCTCGACCTGTCATCTACACTAGAGTCTTCATTGTATCGTTTGATGGTACGATAAACGAATCTTTTGGATCTTAATCTGAAAAATCTGAATATAAATTCAGATTTTTCAGTATGTCAAAAATTTGAATTGGCGCGTAACCGCAACGATGCAACGCAATAACTGCAACACGGTCTTCTTTAAGCGTCCACTCCATATTTAAAAATGAGTAAAATTCTAAAAAGTATACAGTTTTATTTTCATGAACAATTCGAAATTCGAATTCAATAAACTTTTTTGTGGCCAGCATTCTAAAAGAAAAGTTTTTACTGTGTGACAATACTTATGACCTGACTAGATATACACATATGTATACTCATGAACAAATTTAGAGGAACGCAAAAAAAGTATGTACAAAACAAAATAACATGGATATTTGTGACAATTAAGTTTATTAATTTGGATTTTGCTTATTATTCGTTAAAGTAAAATGCAAACGTCGAGAAACATAGGATCAAGTGACAAAAACTAACCAAATTAAGAAAAAAAAAGCTGATTTTTACAAGGTAGAAACATTTTTGTACTTAACATTTTATTCATTTTTTTCATAAATGCTTAGGAAAGGCTATAATGTAAGATATAATTAATCAGTAGATACTTATTGTTGCCTCCGCTGGCTCTTCAAACTGTTTCCAGTCTCCTTGGCATACTCTGAATCAAGTCATCACTAAAATCTTAGAGATTGCGTTCCATTCTCCTGTAATACGTTTTTAAGATATCTCAAAATTATCGGGGGCAGGATTTCTTTTCTTAATCTTTCTTCCAAGCTTATTCCATAAATGCTTTATGTGGTTTAAGCCGGGCGGGCGCACTGGTCACCCCATAGCATTGACTTTAACGTCTCGAAGGTATTGGACAACTAAGGCCGCAGTATTGGGGCGTGCATTATCATTTATCATGCATGAAAACAAATTTATCTTCTATAAAAGGGACAAATGGCACTACAATTTCTTCTAAAATCTCAGTTACATATCGTGCCGCTGTATGTGGCCCCATGCAAATATCTCCCCAACATTTTAGCGAGCCAAATTAACTCGAGCTCCCTTTCCCCCAAAGATATATTTTACTTAATTTAACCCAATTTACTCGAAAATTTATATTGTTTCTTGCGGAAAAAATTACGTGATATTAGCCGAGACCTGCACTCTCCCCCATGTGAGATTGGGTGAGATTCGGCCCGACCTAAACACCTCATTTTAATAATGGACGCGCCCTATAAGTGAATTCATTTATTACATTTTTTGCTTAATAATATGCACTACGACCATAAGAAATCGGTTTTCGATGAAAATAAGACGTAACTTTGTGATTATTTATATAATTTTAATCTATTTTGTTCTCAATCAATATCGTCCCTCGCAATTACGATCCATATTAATAATTTGTGGTTACTTTGAACTTTAGCTAAGCAAAAATCGGATCTAAGATTGGCAATTTGCCTTTATGCCTGTTAATTCAGTCGTATATTTACTCTGTCGGCAAAAAACACGGAATTTGCAATAATAAAACACGCTCGTTAGAATTGAAGTTGTGTATACTTTTCACAAATACTATTATTAACAAAAATTGGAATAAAACTATCACAATCAACAATTACAAATTTTATTATAGCCACATATTTAAAAAAAATATCTAGCAATAATTACTACTCATTGAATATCATTGGTATTTCAATAACATGAAAATATTATATTTTTTCTACTTGACAAATTACTTTTTAGAAACGTTTTCAATGCATGATGAATTCTAATATCAAAGTATTGATGATTTAGAATATACGATGTCCTTGGCGGTAAAACAATCATCGTTGAAATGTCTCGAACACACCCTCGCGTATTTTGGTGAGTGATAACCGAAAGAAAATCCGAAATCAATCCATATTTTTCGTATATCAATGTCAGATGGAAATCTGTTAAACATAAATTATAACCAAGTTTTTAATTAACTGGCGACAATAGGTTATGTTCTTTTTAAAATTATGTTAGATGTTTTTTGATAAATTTGGTTTAAAACGACTAAGTACTAGACTACCTAAAGCAGGATTTATTTGTAATAAACACTAATAAAAGTCTAAGAATATTTAAAGAGTAAAACAATACGTAAATGATAAGAAGTTTTCACAACAACACATACAGTGAAACTAAATATGCCTCACGAAAACAGGAATTATTTTTTTTTACGTTAATGGGTTTGGCCGAGAACTGTTAAAATGTGACAGTAGGGGTAGGCCAGCATAAAATTGGACATTGCTCAGCCTTCCCAGTGAGTAATCAGAGGATACTCGTGTTGGGGATGACCCGCTACTTCCCTTAAGGATGACAGTAAGATTACCTAAAGTATTATAAATTTCTAGAAAAATTGTAATTTGTACGTGCATATTAAAGAGTGTGTGCTTTTTATGTGTGTAACACACATAAAAAAATAACAAAAGAAACATAAAGTCGAATTGAGTACTTCCTCCTGTTTGAAGTCGGTAGAAAATTGCTCTAGTGTCATCGTTAAGAGCGAAAACAGAGGAATATGCTTGTATGTATATTTAAAGGCAGACCAGATTCCTCTTAAGGAAATAGGCGGCTACTAACGTTGGTGCAACGTAATTAAAATAAAGTGTCTCGGCGGTACTATTTATTTTAATGCTATCATAATCACTATCATTATCATTATTAAAGTCCATACACGTTAATACATATTTTTTTGTTTGACTTTGACTATTTTGTAAATAAAACATTATTTTGACTCTTTACGATACGTAGGTTTTGAGTGAACGTATAAACAATGAAGGCTTCAGTGCGTATGAATGAAAAAGATAACGAGCTGCGGTCTGTATACGTGCCAGCCGCTATTTTGGGCGGGCGGCCGGCGCGGGCGCAGAATCAGTCTAGCGCCGCGCTTCTTTCGGCGTCTGTCGAACTCACGCTGCGTGCTCGTTAGATCGTTAGAGGCTTTGTTTTTATACTACCTTGTTCTAGAAAAAATTAGTTAATAATAGCATTACTAAAATTTGACTAAGTAAATTATTGTTCTTTTTTCTTAATTAGTTTTTCTGTCTAAAATTGTAGAGCCAACAAGTTTGAGTCATAAGTTACTTTAAACTAGTCGCTACCGGGAGTTTTATATAGGTATTAATGCAACTTATAAAAATTGTAAATATTAAATGTTACACAACAACATAAACGTCCGTGGCCTGAGTTATCGACGTAGCTTGTTTTCAAGAAAACGCAATGAAAGGTACTAAATGTAGTTGGTTTGCATGACCATAACAGCTTGTCTCGCTTTATTTTAGTCTTTTCAATTATATAGAGCCGTTTCTTCGTCATTTAAGTGTAAGTGTAAACCCCGGTAAACGAGAAACCAGATATATCTACACCGTATATTATGTTTCCTTAATACATTACGAGTACTAAGTGACGTAACGATGTGTGATTAATTGTATTTTACACAATTAAAGGTCCGAAAGCGTCTATATTATTGGGTATTGGTGTCTACACAATGACCTATTGCCGCTACTTGGAACTTTCGAAATGTTTTCAATGTTACTATATTTTAAAAGGACATATGCGTTGGCGCGGATATTGGCGGTTATTTAACAAATGAGATGGAGCGAAGACGGTTTATAGTTTATACAAGTGAACGCATATTTGCGTTCATTGTTTTATACTCACAGTTTATGTAATCTAGTGCACAATCGTTGAAGTGTCAACATAGGCGTGTATTTTTCTTAGGTATTAGGAATATATATTAATGTGTCATCAGCTCATCAGGTACTTAGTTTTAAATTTATACTCGTACGAGTATATCATCTTTGCAGTCTACATTTTCAATATATCCCATTTTTAAGACAACCGTACGCATGGAAGTCAGTTATTCAATTATAGTAGTGGGGCAACCCAGTATGGAGGTGACCCTAGTACGGTAGTGATGCCAACATATTGACGACATCCTTATTTTTATTGCTTCTTTAAACGAGTGCGACGACCGTATCACCCCCACAGCTGAACTGTGTGTGTGGCCTCGCAACTGTTCTATTTACAGGGCTTTGGCAAAATTAGCGTGACTTTTTCGATTAGATAATTTTTATTTATTACTCTGTCACATTTACATTTACACTAGCATTCTGTTAAAATATTATCTTAATTATTAAAAAAAAAAATACTATTACTACGTGCATATAGTGAATTGAGTTGTACATTGTAATGAATGCTGAAATACATAGAAGATGCAAAATTTTGGCAAATTTGCATTAATAGTAGCATTGCGGAGGGTGATTTTTCATTCTTTTGTTGTTCTACAAAATTCTTCTGATCTGCTGTGAAGTAAAAAGTTGTGGATGAATTATCTATCTACTTAGAATATTAGCCTTAATTATACACATTTTATATGGCTTCATATATTTCATCAATTTAGTGTAGTATTCTTGTGAAAAAGTATAAAATCTTGTAATTAAGTGCATTAAACGCGGTAATAAAATAAATGCGGTTATCATAGTCGATACGAACTGTAAAAATTTCCATGTTCGTTGCCACTGGTCGCGAACTACTGTCATTATCGAATATTATGACGTTGTATATTATTATCTGGTACCTAGATTACAAAAATGATTAACAAGGAAAACTAAAATACAGTGCACGTCAGCAGATGTCGTAAAAGTGTATTGTTTATTTGGTGTTTTACTGTGACTACTTCACTACTTGCCCCATGTGCGGTGTTCTCGCGGGACTCGGTCCGGGCAACAGCGAGGGTTGTGTATGTGGTACGAAAATGAGCGAAAGGCGACCGCGGCCGCGTCCGCGTCGACGCAACGAACTGCATGAAAAGCAGCAGGACTTACTCCTTGCATGGAGCAACGGTGAGTCACTAATGTATAAATAAACTAAAAAATAAATAATTAGACAAGGGTCTTTGAAACAAAATTTGCTAAACCATATGTAGAGTATCGTTTGTGTTTTCAGACAATGTCTTGCTAATTGTTCAAGAAATATCGATTCCTTGAAATATTAGGAATATTAAATAATAATCCTATAATATATAATAAGTATTTGGGAAATCCATAAAGTGCACACCTCGAACGGGACGGTTTACAATAGTGAAATTCAATAGGCTTGTTAAGGATTAACATTTTAACATTAAAGCTAATAAAAAAAAACATTGAAAGTTCAGTTTTCCGAAAGATCAACCAAACAAGTAGTAGGTATTAATTGAAATCTTCTCATGATATTAATGTACTTTTTTATTATATAAGCTGGTGGAAGTGATTTATGTTGAGTGCATCGCGATTTTTTGACAATTGGTGACAATATTGATTTGGTGACAATAGAGCACATCTTCGCTTCGCGTTCGATGTGTGCAATAATGAACTTGTTCCTAAATAAAATGCTATGCTGCGGACTACTACCTCGCAGAGTTTGGCTTAAATAAGTATATAAATAAGGTGGGCAAATATGTGTCAGTGGTAATATGAGTATACAAAGAGACCAGGGTCTATTGCAGTAGTGTAAAGGATTGAATAAAACAGTTAATATCTTTGCAATAATTGCAGTCGTTAATGTAAACGTAAGTACTTAATTTTAAGAGTACAACAGTATTCAATGAGATCGTGAAGAATATGTAAATATAACATGGATATTCTTCAATTTATAAATATAAACAAGTTTTAACTTAACAATCAACTTTGCTTTTGAATTATATATACATTTTTGAATGGCGTATAAAATGCTCTTAGTTATGCTAATAATAGGGGTTAAAGTATGAAATTGCCGTTTTAATGGAGGATGCCGGTTTAATAATTAAGGTAAAACTCAAGCAATAATTACAACTCATTGAATATCATTGATATTTCAATAACATGAAAATATTATATTTCTTCTATTTGACAAATCACTTTTTAGAAACGTTTTCAATGCATGATGAATTCTAATATCAAAGTATTGATGATTTAGAATATGCGATGGGCTAATTTTTCCTTGGCGGTAAAACATTCAGTGTTGAAATGTCTCGAACACACCCTCGCGTATTTTGGTGAGTGGTAACCGAAAGGAAATCAATCCATATTTTTCATATATCAACGTCATATGGAAATCTGTTAAACATAAATTATAATCAAGTTTTTAAATAACTGGCGACAATAGGTTATGTTCTTTTTAAAATTATGTTAGATGTTTTTTGATTAATTTGGTTAAAACCGACTAAGTAAGGCTAAAGCAGGATTTATTTGTAATAAACACTAATAAAAGTCTAATAATATTTGAAGAGTAAAACAACACGTAAATGTTTACTGACGAGTCATATTTAGCTGTAATAGGCGTAGTGAAATTTTATTTCCCTGCGCCTATTACAGCCTAAAATGGTACAACGGCCCGATAAAAACACACTTTACTTTTGTTTCTAAGAAGTTTTCACAACAACACATACAGTGAAACTAAATATGCCTCACGAAAACAGGAATTATTTTTTACGTTAATGTGTTTGGCCGAGAACTGTCAAAATGTGACAGTAGGGGGTAGACCAGCATAAAATTGGACATTGCTCAGACTTCCCAGCGAGTAATCAGAGGATACTCGTGTTGGGAATGACCCGCTACTTCTCTTAAGGATGACAGTAAGATTACCTAAAGTATTATAAATTTCTAGAAAAATTGTAATGTGTACGTGCATATTAAAGTGTGTGTTTTTATGTGTTCGAATTTGTGGTGTTCGAGACAACATTTTCAATACTAATATCTCACACATAGACTAAACCATTTTTTTTTCGGTAAATGAAATAGGTAATCATTAGTTCCTACTGTTACCTATTTCACGGGGACAGTAACATCGTCAGGTTGCGGTGATGTTTTATTAAAATACGACAAGCGTCTGGTTTCCTAAGTAACATATCGAAATCATATTCACAAATAGTATTTTTAGGTTTCTCTAAGATATTGATTCTTATTGAAGGCAATGCTAACTAGTCGACATGTTGGTTCCTATCACCCGCGTGTCTGACTTCTCCGAAGAAATTTTGGAGACAATCTTGATTGAGACGTCTCGTCTCGAATTCAATTTCTTCTGATTTTAATTGTTCATTAAGTTTTATTAAAGATTTTATAGACACTTGGAATCAGTGAATGAAATTCATGCTATTTTTAACGTCATTTTGCCTATCACTTCTCATTGATTTTAAGTTCCTGAAAAATGTTAGCGTTTCTTCTAAAAATTCAATTCGATAACTATGGCATCGAAAAGCTCTTTTATATTTATTAGGAGATCGCAGTGTATTTCAGTGGAAGAAATCAAACAAATTATTAATTTCATTTACAAAATCAGCGGTATCTCTTGCGGCAATCTCAATATGATTTAAGTCTAAGTAGGTATTAGTGAACCATATTTATACTTTTTTTATATTTCATTTGATACGAATTATTCTTTAAAAAACAAAATTTCACACTTATAATTTTTTACACAACCCTGAGTTTGAGCACTGGCCGAGCCGGTTTAAAGCAGTTTCTCTATGCATGTGACGTGACGCCAGTGCTACACAGTACGCACACACGCGCTTCAAGTTTGAAGCGCGTGTGTGCGTACAAGCTTGTAGTGCCTATCACTGTACGGTACGGTTTCTTTACTCATGTGGTAATGCTGTTCATTATGAAAATATAGTGACATGCTTTTATTTTTATTGCATTTAAAACATTCTTAGTGTTCCGTTATTCGCAATTTCAAAATATATAACAACACTAGCTTAAAAATATATATAACTTTTCTCTTTAATTGTTATATAAAATTTCACTTTAAAAATTGGGATGATTCAAACTGAGAATCGCACGCAGTGAGTCCAACGTCTGGTTACTACGGTGCAAGCTGCGGGTTCAAAGTACGAGATCGCACGGAACAAAGCACTTGTGTTACCTCTTAAATTATAGTTCCGGGTGTGGGTGTTTGTCCTGGTGTAATATAATATGTATGTAAAACGCCCCCACACATCAGAAAAACATCCATTTGGGTGTAACTTTTGTAACCAAAACACCGTTTTAGTGTTTGACATGTCTCAAGGTAAATTATTTTAAACACACCCTTATAATTAAGGCCTATATATAACGCTGCAACAAGGTACGCTCACGCCTAGTGAACAGTCTAAAACACCACGTTTAATACGGATAAAAACTCAAATCGCGTGCATTTTAATGAGATGGAGATAAGTTACGTTACTTTCTCCATGTGTGTTGCAAAGTACAAGACGTCTCGCTAATAAAGATAAAGGAGAAGCAGCATTAGTATGGACGTGGCACGCCGTTACGGTTAACATTCTAATCATACTGCAGGACCGACGCGGTCACTGGCCGCATTCAGCCTACCGGTACCAGAGGTTCCCTAACGTGCGTCGCTTGCCTAGAGAAGACGATACAAGGTTCCTGCACATGATGGAATATTTAATAATTAATGACTCATATTTAAAAGAAAAGAGTACAGCTCAAACCTTCAGCTGAATTGAGAAGTTATGCTCAGAAAAGCAAGCTCTTAATAGCTGCTTATTAATTATTGTATTGATTGTAGATTTTCATGTTATGTAATAAATAATTATCAAGATTCAACATTCTTTGGAGTTTAAAGTAATTTGAAAGTTTAATAGATCTACACACAGGTTTTCCTTTTCTAGAAGTGTGTCGCGAAAATCCATATAAAGGTGTAGCCGCAGTAAAAATGATGAGAGCCTCTGACCTACGGGTTTATTTATCTTACGTGCTTTGATTTCAAATATGAGGTAATATTATTACTTGTGCAAGTTTATTTCATTTAAATGCTCCATTAACCAAATAGTCCAACTTAACTTACAAATTATTCAGTTTATGCGTTTATTGTCCTACATTTAATTAAACCTTTTTAGCATTGAATATTTCAAAACCGTGCCAAGTGCTTGTAGAGAGATTCGTCTGTAAATATGAAGTGTATGCTCTGATTTGTTTGAAAGCCCCTCGACTGGATCGATTTGGTGTCTAGACTAGATTCGCAAGCGCAAACATCGACCATAAGCGTATATTTATACGTATAGCCAAATACAATGCGTCGGGCTTGTGGCATTCGTCTGGTTTTCACGTAATCTATTTAATAATACGTGAAAGGAAAACATTGTTCCCCTTTTTAATCATATTTCTGTGAGATTTGGCTTAAAGTTTATATTTGTAAGGAGTGCAGAAAGCTAAAATGTGTCGATAAAGTATTACACATACATTACATTGAATAAAATAAAACATTTTTTTTTCAATATGGCCCTTGATGTTGTGGTTGGGAAAACATAACGTTCATACTGCTAATATCAATTGTCAAACACATAACAGTCTATGGTCTAACAGTCGAACAGAGTAGAGAATGTCGCCAAATAATTTAAAATGTTGCCAACAAAATAATTACTGAAAGTGACTGAATGAGCCGTGAATTTTGTGTGATTTCTAATGTTCCTTTTTCAATAGTTTGTAGCGTTTATTTAATATTATTTATCTGTATTTTATATCAATGAGCAGTTTAAAGCATAGATAATCATTGAGCTCTTATGTACTACGTACTAGAGGCGACATTGCATTATATATTACGCTGTTCCATTAAACTGCGGTGATATTGCCGCACTTTACTCAGTCGCTCGCTAGGCGCTAGTGAGTTGACACATGCTGTGTTGATTATATAAAAAAAATTCTTGATAAAATACGCCACGGTGTGCTTTAGAAATTGCACAAATAATTCAAGAAATGTTAGCAAATACCAAGGAATAACTTTTCATCGGTGAGTAAAATACTTAATAAAAAAGTATTATAGATTAATAATTAATCAAACAAATTATTCAAAAGACGCCATCTCCGACCATGAAACATAGATTATGAAA